TGGCCTAGGTGATTGTTTTTTCTTGGTTATTGACTTTGGTAATTGTTATGACCTACCTATAATTTAAGGTGCTACTAGCATATGAATATCTACCTATAGAAGTAAAGATAAATCATGGACCTAGTGTGAATTAGATTTGTTATTTTGAAATAAGCAATTGCAGCTTCTATTTGGGAACATCTCCTTTCTTAACCTAAATGTAGTGTTTTGTAATGCTTTCTTCTTATATGTTGTGGGCCAATAATGTTCATTAATAGCTTCTAACATCTTAGTTGATCTAATAAAAATTGAACAGTTCTTTCCCCATTTTTTTTTGCAAAATCACCATTCTAAGATAACAATATTTTTTTCCAAAGTCAATCAGTGGATCGACAATCATTAAGAGGTGCTTAGGGGCAGGTAGGTGGCACAGTGGATAGAGCACTGGCCTTGGAGTCAGGAGGACCTGAGTCCAAATCTGTCCTCAGACACTTAACACTTACTAGCTGTGTGACCCTGGGCAAGCCACTTAACTCCAATTGCAGAAGAAGAAGAAGAAGAAGAAGAAGAAGAACAAGAAGAAGAAGAAGAACAAGAACAAGGAGGAGGAGGAGGAGGAGGAGGAGGAGGAGGAGAAGAAGAAGAAGAAGAAAAGTGCTTAGTCATTCTCAGGAAAATTATTAGGATGTGCATTAAGCAGGCTCCCTAACATGAATGTGCGACTAAATTCCCAAGATTACTGAATATGTGGTATCCTTAGGAGAATTATGGTAAGTTGAATAGCATCCCTTCCAGATAGCTGTAACCTGTGTCTAAGACACTGAGAATATTGAATATGCGCCAAAATCGAGTTGCCCAAAAGACCAATCATGAGTTCAGGAAAGACTATCAGCCACATGTACCCAAGCCAATTATCAAATAAAAAATTATCAAGGCTTTGAAGATTCTTGGTTTTTTGTTTGTTTTTCAAAAACCCTGCAAGGTGTGGGTTAGCTGATAAGTGACATGAGGAATAGGATTTTTTTTCTCTTCATAGGCAAGAGCAACTCACCTTCATATACTCTGACAAGGATGCTAACATGCTGGAAAAGCATTCTGCTGGAGTACGTACTATTACCATGGAGCCTGATTGCCAAAGATTCACTACTGTCTGCCTTCTACTCATACGGAAGCTAAGAGCACATCAGAGTCAGTCATGTCCTAGCACCCTTTTCTATCATCTTGGGATTTAGCTAGCCATGCTGTATTTTTTAATAAATCTCACCTGAATATGTAAGCTATGTATTGGGCTTGGCTTTTTTTTTTTATTGGTGGGTACAGTTGTAATTCTTACCATTATTTAGAGAGCATTTGTTGCTAAATGTTGGTGAAGGAATCACCTCTCCAAATTCTCAAATTGTCCTCTGAAATCTAGAACAGTTATCACACACCCCCATCAAGTGTTTTATTTGCATTTTATTAGGCACTTTCTGAGGCTCAAATAGTGATAACCTAAATTTCAAGTACCTCGGGAGTCTGGTGAGAGTAGTTTTGTTGGTGGTAGTACTGTTGTTGATCTGCAAATACCATTTAGCTATTACCTGCTTTGTCTACATGCAGCCCAGATATCAGTAGGGTGCTGAGAAGATGATGATTTGTCAAGAGGAATGGTCAGATTGGTATAGTCTTGGGGACTTAAAGGGTAGAAACTCTCATTGTGATTCTATCAGCAAAGACTTTGCTGACAAAACTCTCCTCTTTGCCAAAGGGCAATAGTACCTAGTGAGATGGTTGAGAAGTGACATCTAAGTATACCTGAGGAAAGTTATTTTGAGAAAGGAAAACATTAATTCTGAGTTAGAAGACCTCTCCAAATGTTTGGCATGTCAGGATATTGGCAAGCTTTATGAAGGGAACATTCTTATAAAAATAGTTTTCTATACATACTCAGAAAATTTTTATTCAACCAGAATAATATGCATTTTTCCCCAATGCTGTGCTTTCTCCCTCCTACTCACCTTGATGCCCTCCTACTACTCCTCCCTGTCATTAGGTTTAAAGAACTCAAGCTATACTTTGCAAACCACCTCAGAGTTCTCTCACCATGAATATGAGGAACACAACGGAGTAGATTCAATTTCTTTGAAATTTGGATTTCATTAAACCTTCTACCTACATTGCTTTCATTTAACCTACAGCCCACTTTGAGGGTTGGGAAGGAAGACACACTGGGCAGATGGGTCAGAGCTGATATTTATGACCCAACTGAGAGCCTGGACTGGTTAGCAAGAGAGGCAGCCAGTTACAACTAAAAATATAAATAGTTGATGATTAAGGGACATCTTTGACCTTTCTAAACATTTTAAAACACATTTTTATAAAACTATGCATTCATTACTTCCAGGAAATGGCATTAACAACCAAGAAACATGTATTTATTTTTTCATGAAATATCTAGTGTTACTAATTTGATGGATATTATACATAGCGGTTCACACAAATGTTCTTTCCCAGCTTGTCCACAGAAATAAACCAATAAATTTGTTAATACAGAGAAACCAAATTGGCAGAACTTCACAGGATCTCTAATGCAGTACCCTGTTTTCATAGTTCAGGGAAGAGGAGACCAGTCATGGTCTCCTGATGTCAAATGGTGAGCTGGCATTTTTAAGGTGTTCCAAAAGTCTTAGGGCAGTTTTAAACCTTAATAGCTTAAAGACCTTTGAGACACCCTGTAATTTACCTTTAAGACCCCGAAGCATAACTTTTCTTATTAATCAGCACAACAGGACATGTATAAGTGCCTAGTCTTCAGGCCCACCTCCTTTAGGTTCAGCGTTAGAATGTCACATCACTCACTCAGACTCACTAAAACTCCCCAGTTAAATTGCCCTCTAGCCTATACACATCACAAATATGCTCATACTACACACATTCATATATACCACATACATTTAAAGCACTATATATAAATGTCAATTAATAACATTAATGAGTTATTCTTCTTAATGATGTCTCTTTGTGCTGCACTCAGTGACTACTAAAGAACTATATTTAGGAAGGTATATAGCACAATGGCTATTCCTTTATATGAGGGGAAACGACCTTATTATTGGAATATGCTGTTTGACTGAATTATTACCACCCCAACCTCCTGTCCCCGATCCTCACCCCATTCTGTAAAAGACTGACTACCTCCATCCTGCCTAGGCTGAATGTACAAAGCCCTGCTGTATACAGCACTCTCTAGCTAGGTGCACCCCCACAAATTAGGGACCTTTCAGACTGACTTCTTTTAGAGACAAACTGTATCCCATTGGCTCATTCAAATGCCATAGAATGCTGTGCTGATTGGATGTGTACTCTAATTAGGCCTGAAAATGCTTCATAAGACAAAATATGTAACCTAAGAATCTGAAGCAGCTACCAGTGAGCAATTTCCCTTAACATTCTAATAATAATTTTTTTTTCTTTTTAGTTTGGCTCTCATTTTATTTGACCTCCAGTTTTGTGGACCTTCCAGTGATCAAGATTTGCCCTGGACTTTGAAGAACTCCAGGCTAAAAAATTCCCTTATTGTTTTCTTTGCAGGGAGACTTGGACTAATCTGACACTGGGTGCTTTAGCTGAAAAAATAAGCATCTGCCATTGTGTCTGTAACACAGGCATTGTTCCAGTAGAAAATATGCTGGATTTTGGAGTAAGAGGACCAGGTTCAAATCTTATCTATTACTTACTGACTGTAAGACACCTTGGGCAAGTTAAATTCTGGGGAGCTCTGTTTCCTCAACTATAAAACTTGCCCAAGGTCTATAGACCCTGTCTCTCTCTCTTTTTCTGTCTTACATCAGGCTCACTCAGTCTTACAGCCTTTTCCATAGCTAAAAGTCTTGCTACAATTTGAGGGAGACCAGGAAGGCTTCTTTACCCAAACATATCTCCACTGAAATCCTACCAATAGGGACTTTAGGCTAACAGATTCTTCTTTTAAAAGTCAAAATATTATTATGATATTATGATAGTCCCCAAAGCCTTTCTTTTATTCTGTGCCTAGCCTTTCTTGTGCAGACTATATCTTCTTTAGCTCCTTCCCCTTATTATCTGGCATCCTTAGCCTGCCTTTTTCTAGAATCCTCAATTGCTACCATTCTCCATACTAGAAACTTCCTTATCCCATGTTTCTAGGGCAGGATGCCTCACTGACCAATTTTTAGGACCCCTCTTCCTGGGACACACCAGAGATGGAAAGCTAATGCAACACACCTGAGCAAAAACCATATCTCTCCTATAATAAATCCATGTACCTTGCTTGTAGACCCAAGTTCCTTGGACTCAGGAATTTCCAGCTGTAACCAGAGAACTGATAAGAGCTTGGAGATATTAAGTCAAGGGCAATCCTTTGCAGGACCATCCTTTACCCTTTTTCTTGTCTTATTGTACCCTGATAATCATCACACTCAAAACTGCTGTGACCTCTCCCTAGATGTCCTCCAGTTATCTGGTGTTAGACTATCTGCCTTATTATTTTTGTGAGTCAAAGTGATCTTGTCATAAAGACTTGTTACTTTTAGCATCCCAAGCCAGTCTGATTCAAAAGTCTCCTAGGTCCCTATTCAGTTGGAATGGCTTGTGACAGACTATGTTGTGACAGCTATTCCCACTTTATTACAAATTAATTTAGCTGACAACCCTTCAAAAAACTATTAGCAGAACACTGGCTATTTATTTTCTTCCTAACAGATGGGAAACAGAAAGCGGGGAGGAAAATAAGCAATCTACTAAGGGGAGATTGTAAGTTAGGGCCTATACTCTTGTTGAATTGAATTGAATTGAATTGGGAGCACTGAGATGAAATAAAAGCATATATTTGGGGAGTCAAATCCAATCAATCAAAGGTGGAATTACAAAGTCCCTGCATTTTTATGCAGAATAACATCTGTTACATTTAAGCCTTATACTGAAGGAAACCAAACTCCTTTATCTCATCCCTACCCCAGGCATATAATACCAAATGCTCAAGCAAATACTTGATCAAAGGCCTTTTAAATTATCAAGTTTTTATTACAAGAGAGAAATCCCAAAGGGAATCAAAAGAAAATGATGAATGCAGAAGACAGAGGACCGGGGTACTGTGTATAACTCTGACTCAAACAACTCTTGCTGTCCACCCTTGTGGCCTTTCTATTCTCACTCAAAGCCTGGGTGACTGCTTATCACTTCCCTTTTGTAACTTGGAAGAGACTTGGGACCTTCTAGAGTGAAGGGCCTAATCTTGGACTAGTGTGGCAAAATGTCCTGTATGTGGAGATTGAGAGATGGAAGTAGAAAGTTCCTCAGTCTACATAAAGTGTCTCTATTCATAATCTTGGGCAGATTGTCCAGGACAAAATTTGGATTTATAAAATGAAGATACAAAATCCCAAAACTCAGCATCCTGGTGAGAAATACGACCATCAAGAAGACAAACTGGGCAATCCTGCAAAAAGAGTGGGGCAAGTTATCATCGACCAAGGTTGCAGAGATTCATTATAGTGGATAATCAAAAGCCAGCCTGGGAGGTAGTAAGACCTGGGTTCAAGCCCTGTCTTTGACAAATATCAACACTGTGACCATGAATAAGTCACTTAATCTCTCAATGGCCTAGCTAATTCTCTGAGACTGTAAGTTATGGTAAGATGCTGATTTTCATTGGTGTAAGACAGTGATGTCCAAAATAGGATCTGGGACCTCTAAAGGAGAGAGCTGGCAAGGTCAAAACTATTTTCTAAAAATAATGAAGAAATTTTGATTTTAATATAATGTATATCAATTGATATAGCCCACATAAACAAAAGCTTGTCTTCAATTATTTTTAAGAGTGCAAAGGGGTCCTAAGACTAAGAAGTTTGAGTAGCACTGGTGTAGGGTGTTTCTACATTGTGATTTCCCTAGATTGATAAAATATGTCATGACATTTTTTAAAAAATGTGACTGTAAGAAAACCCTCTACACCAAGAACTGGTTCAAATTGGCCTTAAGCTTCCATCATGCAAGGTTTATAGCTAAATCACTTAAATGAATCCTTTACTTAAAGGACAAGGATTGTGCAGTCCTTACTTAGAAAGCCTTGTAGAGTCATGCTATTACAAACAGTAGCAGGGAGAGTTTGAGAAGCATTGCTAAAGCTACATAGTATATTAGTGGATGGGCTAAGAAAATCATTTGCTGGCCTCCTCTCCCAGTCATATAAATTAGCACAGATACATAGATTCAGTGTCTGAACCAACATAATGGACTTTAAAAGAAATAAGGCTTAGGGCAGAGGTGTGAAACACAGTTGTGGCCTGCAATACTCCTGAGTGCCCTGAGAACCTGATTGAAATGTAATCAGAAAATATTTAACAAAATAAATGTACAATACAACATAGATAATGTTAATATGTGGTTTTCCAAGTCAATATGTGGCCCTCAGGGATGCTTATGTATGGTTTAGTGGCCCCATTTCTACTTGAGTTTAACACCACTATTTAGGGCAAGCAGGATATCCCTAGAACTATAGTCTCATCCTGTATATCTTGATTCTTTTGCAGCTTCTAGCAATGATATATATCACATCTTTACTCTGACACTAACTCTGAATGTGAAGGGCCAAGAAGAATTCCGTGGGTTGGACTAATGCTTTGTGACTAATGGATTATTTTATCTATGCCAAGTATTCCTCCTGGTCTTCTGCATAAGAACATCCTATATCTGAAGAGTCCCTGCCTGATTAAGGGTAAGTGTATTTTGGGCTGATTAAATCAAGCCCTTTCCAGTTACCTGAGGCAAAAATGTCTTTGCCCTTTTCTAAACAAGTTCTCCTCCTGTGAAAGCAATAAGTACAACAAATGAGAAGATGATCTTAGAATTCTTTTTCTTCCTTCCTCCCTCCTTCTCTTTCTCTCTTCCTCTTTTTTCTTTCCCTCCCTCTTTCCTTCCTCCTTTTCTTTTCCTTCCCTTCCTTTCCTCCTTTGTTCCTCCTTCCCTTTCTTTCTTCCCTCCCTCCTTTCCTCCATCCCTTCTTTCTTTCTTTCCCCAGTGCCTAGGACAGTGACTAACACATAGTGGGCACTTAATAAATGTTTGTCGATTGACCAATAACTATGTTCAAGGCCCTGGACTAGTTGCTAGAGAAGATATTATCAGCGCAGTAGGAAAAAGGGAGAACTTGGATCACCCAGAGACTGCAAGTGTCCAATCATTTCAGGGACCAGCTTAAATTGAGTAGAAGTAGACAGCTCCAGTACTTCTGCTAGAGCACTTTCAACCCTAGAAAGTTGGGACTACTACTGGCATACTTTAGGTGAGGACTAGCAGAAAATGAAGTGCAGGTGAAGTCCATGAGCCTTAGGCAGAGAGCCTGGTGGAAGCTAATACTACCAACTGTTGTAGGGCCTGAGTTTCCTCTTTTAATTTTGGTTGGGGGAAGGGTGGGGGTGAGGGTAGGGGGATGGGATCAGGGTATTACAAATATCTTTTTGGCCCAGAGCTAAGGATTGGCACTCTCCCAGGATTGGAGGAGTAATAAAAGGAGGTACATTTCAACAGTAGCCTAATTTACCTATTTGAACTGTGCTAAGTTTACATCTTAGAAAATAACTGTACAACCAACTTTAAGCTCCCACTCCTGGAATTTACTCCCACCTCATTTCAACTTTTCAGCACCTTTAAGTTTCTTTAAGGTTCTGTTAATATTTTTTCTTTTATTCCTCAAATTGCCTTGCATTTACTTCTCAGTGGATGGGGTCTCACATTCTTCCAAATAGGTTCCCTAAGGGCAGGGACTTGTTTGCTTGTTTTTTGTCTTGGCATTTAATAAATGTTTGGTGAATTTAGTTGCTCAAGAAGTCACCTAGAGCTTTGTAATATTTGCTGATAATTGGGTCCAAATAATCTTTATTCTATATTGCTTTCTTTTTACTCACTAAGAGAAATAGATGAATGAAGGGGGTGGAGCAGAGAATGTAAAACTAGGGTAAAGTGAAACTTACCAGAATCAAGTTAGATTGATTGTATATGTTCTGGGCTTTGGTTCTAGAAGGAAAAACAAAACAAAGATATGCCTGGAGATGTCTAAAACACTTTTAGGTATTTACATTGATGCAAGTCACTGCTATAAAAATGGTTTCTAGTCTAGTCAAACATCTGTTTTCCTTTCAGATTATTAATAGCAATGCCAAAGCCTGAATTGAGTAGGAATTCAAGAAAATGTCAACAATAATAACCTGAAATTTCATTGGCATAGGGAAATCCCATATGAGAAACCCCTCTTTACCAATGTAGTTAGCACCTTATAGTGTTAGAGGGTTCCTTGGAATCACTGAGAGAGGTTAATCGACCTGACAAAGGTCCTACGGCCAGTTAGAGGCAGGATTTGAACATATGTCTTCCAGCTCTATCCACTAAGCCATGCTATATAACAACAACAACGACTAACATTTATTTGTAAAGTGTTTTTAGGTTTGCAAAGTGCTTTACATACATAATACTTTTTTTTTTTACAAAGCAGCATTTCTATATGGGAGGAGGCGAATGGGTTGTGATAGTGACACAAAAAAAAACCAGAAAAGAGTGTCAATGAAATGTTAGAAATTACACAGAGGAGAGAAGAGTGAATGAAGTTCAGAAGGGGACACAGACAAACAGGACAGTTTTGTTACTATCATCTTAAATTTAATACAGAATAAATTAAATATGGAATAAATTAAATTGAATTTAGAAAGATTAACCACTTTTTTAGGAAAAGTAATAGCTCAGTTTTGAGTGTGACACTTTTTATTCTTTGAATATTGTAATGTTTGTGTTTGTTGATACTTCCTAAGTTTGTAATAAAAAAAAATTTTAAATAGAAAATACAAATGTCTATTAGAGGTAGCCCATGCAATTTCCATATACTAGTTATGATAATTAATAATACTAATGTATATATAGCACTTCATATTTTATAAAACAGCTTACATATAATATATCATTTGATTTCATCCATTTCATAGGCATAGATCTAGAGTTAGATCTCAGGAGGACAATCTAGTCAAATTCCCTTCATCTTACGGATGAGGAAACTGAGGTCCAAGGGACTTAAGTGGCTTGTCTAATGTCATAGAGTTTGTAAGCATCAAAGGCAGGATCTGGACCCAGGTCATCTGATTCCAGAGCCCAGTGTTCTTTCTACTATACCCTCACTTGTTATGAGTGTTATGTATTTAGTTTCATGGAACTACTTCTTTTCTCTTGTTTAGTTCCTTCTTAAAGTAGAAAATATGACTGTCTCCTCTCCAGTGGTCAACATCATACCTAAACACCTTAAAAATGCAGAAGAAGAAGATTAATGGTGCATTGGAAGTTCAGTTCTGTTCAACAAATACTAAGGGCCTCCTACAGGGACTCAGTTTAGCATTAAGATTCTTTGATGTATGAACTTTTTCATAGGCTTGACTCAAATGAACAAGGCCGAGTCCATTGACAAAACTCACATTTCTGTTTCAAGGAGCAGAATCTCTCTGTCCTCCTCCATCAGCCTCAGAATTTCCTGGTATTTCTGCTCACGGAAATTAAAAATATATATGCACAGGAACAAGAAGAAAATTTCATGATTATTCAATTGCAATGAAAGTAAGCAAATCTATAATAATCCCAAGCCCTTTCTTGACAACCTCCCCTAAGAGTTAGGCTTTGCAGAAGTTCTGCAGTAGGTATTTATTTATTAAGTACAGATTAGTCAATAGAGTAAAGGAAGATTTGGTTGAGAAAGTTGATGAGCAAGAAGACATGTCTTTTAAAAGATTTTTACATAGTGAGACCAATGGGAAACCAAAGATACCACTGTTCAGCCAAGAGCTATTAGGAGAAATGGGGCTTTATTTAACTCTGCAGCCATATGAAGTTTCTCACATTTTGACTCTCTGTTGGGGAAGTTCATAGGATCACTGAATATGAGAGTCAGGAGATCATCAGAGGTCATCCAATCCAATATTCCATGAATAGGAACATGTATTTCTAACAATTAAGTGGCTTCCACTTGAAAACCTTCATCCAGTAAAAGGGAACTCTCTACTTGCCAAGGCAGCCAGTTCTGCTTTTGACAACTCCAATTGTTAAGAAGTTTTTCTAAAGTGGAAATTTGTCTTTCAGTAACTTCTACCCATTATTCCTACAACTGTCATATCTCCCCTAGAAGTCTTCTCTTTTCCAAGATAAGTATACCTTAGTACCTTCAACTGACCTTCCTATTACATAGTCTCTGACCTCTTTGCTATCCTGGTCACCCTTCTGTAGACATGTTCCAATTGGTTAGTATCTTTCATAAATATGGTGCCAAGAAAAGAACATATTCTGGTCTGAGTCAGGGCCAGAGACACTATAATTTCTCTAGTTCTAGACATTCTGCTCCTTCATGAGTTTTTAGTTGCCGTATCTTAGTGTTAACTCATAATGTTTCAAAGTCCACTAAAACCCCCAGATTTGATACCTTTATGTAGTAAGCCTGATCTTTGCAGAGTTGGTCCACAGATTGGTATTCAGATATTACCTAGAAAAACAGATTTTTTTTAAACAAACAAACTCTATGAGTTAATTCAGAAACAAGAACAACATGCAAATGTTATCCAGAATGACCATTGTGATTTTCTCACTGTTCTCTGTGAGACTGTTAGCTACACAGTTAAAAGAAAAATCAATTGCATCTCTGGTGAGAATATTTCATTCACTTTCATAATCCATTCTGAGAAAACTAAGGAGCCATACTTTCATAAGAAATTAAGTGAAAACCTTAGGAACTGTGTCTGGCCAGTTGGCCTGTGGATACTGCAATAATGTATTGCAACAGCATATTTCTCACCCCATTCACCCCCAGGTTTTAAAGAGAGGAAGCCAGAGCATTTGATCCAGCATCCTTCTTTCTTTATCTTAAGCATTCAATTCAGGATGCTCAAAAAGTACCTATTAAGCATTCTTTTGTTTTCCTTCAAGCCTGTTATGTAATCATAGTGGGGAAACTCCCAGTATGAAAACTCCTTCCACCAATTCTTTGTAACTTATAGTCTAAAAAAGAGTTGCATGAGGGCACAGAGAGGTTAAAGGGACACACAGCCAGCGTTTGTCAGAGATAGGTCTTCCTGTTTTAAGTGTTGTCCAACCTATGCTGCTTTTTATTTCCTCATTTATTCAATAGTTAATAATTAATTGCTTATATTTACAGAGCACTTTAAGATTTGCAAATGCGCTTTCCTCATTCTGTGATATTGGCATTATTTTCTTTTTTTAAAATATGGAGATTGTTAACATTTTCTCACTTGATAAACAAGGAAGCTGAGTCTCAGATTGGTTAAGTGTTTTGCTCATGGTCATACACAGCTAGTAAGAGTAGGAGCCAGAACCCTTGACTCAGTTCTCCTGATTGCAATTCCAGTCCTCTTTTCATCTAGAGGTAGGAGTTAACATTATTAGAAGCAGTTCCACCTGCAGCTAGGGATTTAAAGAGATGAAGAAGTCCCTATCCCTTAGGTATTTCCAATTAGGTAGTACATGCTGGTCAGAGTTCCTCCTTCCACCAGCCCAGATCTTCCCTGTGGTCTTAGTTCTGAGCACCTTTGGGATCATATCCCAATTTTTATCCCAAGCCAGAAAGTCATGAACAGGGGGTGATTTGAAAGGTCATTAAGGTCATTGCCACTACCTTAGCCAGTTCTTTTTCCTGTTCTGCATAGAAGGTTATGGTCTTTTGTAATTTCACCTATGGAAGAACAAAAGAAAAAAGAAAGAACTGAGTATGATGACACGCAGCAGGCAGAGAAATGGACAGTTGTGAAAATCTCTTATTTTCACCTCAGAGAAACTGAATGTTTTATCCTTCCCAACACCCCAATACCCTGTTATTTAAATTCCGTAGGTAACACCATTACATGCTCTCTAAGATCCCATAAGTGAGAAAAAAGAATATTATTCCTCTTCTTTTGAGGGAAGAGATAAAGAAAATCAGAACAATTGTACCTGACGAGCTGCTTTTTCACATTACTCTCCTGATAAAGGCAAACCACCAAATTCTCCTATTACCTAGAAACCCAAAGAAGACTTCTTGTCATAGCCTAATGAACTGTGAGTTACTCTAGAATTATCTCTTCATTGCTATAGTTGAGTATATTTCCTTTGTGTTTATATGCCACAAAGTCATAGGTATAGAGCTGGAAAGGACCTTAGAAGCCATTTAGTTTTTACAATTTATAGTCACATGAAGAAATGCTCTAAATCATTATTGATTAGAGAAATGCAAATCAAAACAACCTGAGATACCATTTTACACTTACCAGATTGGCAAAAATGATTGAAGGGGAAAGTGACAAATGTGGGAGTAGATGTGGAAAAATTGGGACGCCAACCATTTTGGAGAGCAATCTGGAATTATGCCTATACCCAGCAATACCAGTATTACATCTATTTCCAAAGATAATTAGGAAAAAAGGAAAAGAACCATATGTTCTAAAATGTTTATAGCACCTCTCTTTGTGGTGGCAAAGCCATTCATGCAAACTCATTGATGCAAATATAAAACCCAGAAACTGAATAATAATTTGTTGAATTTGAAGTCAGGGGAAGTGGGTTTCCAGTTGATGATGGTTAGTGTTTTCAGGTCCTCAACCAGGAGCCACAGTAGAAGATAGCTCCTTCCTAATGAAAACATCTGTCTCTCTGTAACCATTTGGAACAATTTGTTTATCTACTCTTGTTCTGTGGTTAGAAATTGCAAGGATGCCCATCAATTGCGGAATGGCGAACAAGTTGTAGTATATGATTGTGACGGAATACTACTGTGCTATAAGAAATGATGAACTCAGTGAATTAGAAAAACATGGAAAGACTTGCATGAAATAATGAAGAATGAAATGAGCAGAACCAAGAGAACAAAGTGTACAGTAACAGCAATATTGTTTTTAACCTTCTTATTTTATACATGAGGAAACTGAGACTTTGAGTGACTTGCTCAATGACAAAAAGGTAGTTCATATCTATAATTAATCCATCTCCTCCATTAGATGGGAACCTTATTAAGGGCAGGAACTGCATCATTTTCTACCCTGGTAACTTACCATAACATTCTTTAAAGTGCTTTTTCTCGTAGCCGACATTTAGTGTTGTTGAATTATTGTGAGGACTTTAAGAAGACTTATGTCATTCTTTTGGACTTTGTTGTAGAAAGAACTGACCAGTGAAATATTAAGTGTGTATTTCTGAAGCCCATGGAGATGTAGGCACATGGATATTGGTTTTAATGAAATGTCTCTAAATGAGGGTAGGAATTAACTAGGACCCCAATAGTTCAGCTGTAAGAGCACAGGAAAAAAAAAAACATGGCCTTAGTAGCTCAGAGAAGTTGTCACTTGGGGAAATTAAAGATGTAAAAACATTTATCAGAGAATCCTTTGATTTATTCTTTGCATTCACCTTTGATTCTTCCAACATCTGTTTCAGGTTTTCTTTTTCAACTTCTTTCGAATTCTCTGGTAGTTTCCTGGAAAGCTGAAATTCCAATCCAGAAATACAATGAGACATGAGCTACATTCATGCAAACATAAAATCCAGAAACTGAATTATAATTTGTTGAATTTGAAGTCGGGGCAATGGGTTTCCAATTGATGATGTAGTTAGTGTTTTCAGGTCCTTCACAGGAGCCACAGTAGAAGATAGCTCCTTCCTAATGAAAACATCTGTCTCCCTGTTATCATTTGAAGCAATTTGTTTATCTACTCTTGTTCTCGCTAGAACCTGATCCTAAGGCTTAGCTGGGGCCAGTTTTGACCTTTACTATATACAACTTGTGCTGTGCTGTACATAACTCTGACCATAATACTTATATTTCTCTTAGACTACATACAGGGATAGGGAACCTGCAGCTCAAGGCCACATGTGGCCCTCTAGGTCCTTAAGTGTGGCCAGGAATTCTGTGAAGGTTTCCCACCCCTGAGTCCTGGACCCTTGAAGCCCAAGCCAGAAAGATTTCCATCAATTCTTACCTCCCATGTATACAGTTGATATGTACATAAGTCTTTAAGATTTGCAAAGCACTTAACAGATAGTATATCATTTGACACAAAGTGCTCTACATATGACATCCCATTCTAAGTAGCTTGGGTCACGGGTCAGAGGTAAGACTTGGCCTTCTGTATTCATCAAAGTGAGAGAGAAGCAGGGATTAGCACTATCTGGGTGAGGGAAAGGGGATAAATAATTCCTGGGGAAGCCAAACAAAACTAGATGTCCAGTTGCCTTATGCCACAAAAATCCCATGAACTGCTATGTCCAACACAGAAGACACTGAGACCTAGAGTGTTTCACTTCTGAAATATATCAGGAGACATGACTCTTCCTCCATTTAGAAAAATTCTTTAAGGCTTCCTTCTTTTTTTGCTTAGCCCTTCCTAATACAATCATAGGAAAACAATAGGTTTATTTTAAATTCATTGATAATAAGTCTTAGACTGGGCATAGATCCCCAAAATTGTCCATCGTATACTCTAAACATGCTGATAGGCAGTGGCTGTTATGGAATGGGAAACAGGTATGTTATCAGAATGTGGCTCCATTCTGAATGGAATAACCCTTCCCACTACTCATCTCTGTCTGGATAAGGATATCTACATGGGGGACTTTGGGAAACTTAAGAGAACTCAAAGGCCTTACCTTCACCCGTAGCTCATTCACATTCCTAGCCAGTATCTCATTACTCTTTTCCTGCAGAAATAAAGAAACAAAAAGCATGGCAGTTCATATCTTCCCATCTGCTCTTGGTCTCCTTTCCTGCCAAAATTTTTGTCAGATGACAAAACTGTGCTCTGACCTCACAGACCATGAGAGTAGATCTGGGAACAGAGCCCAAACATTAGAGTTTCTAGTGCCAATAACAACAACAACAATAAAAATAACAACAATAACTGATTTTTATATAGTGCTTTAATCTCATATGACCCAAAGAGTTTTACATATGTTATCTCATTGACACCAAGCACTCCATTTCCAGAGCTCTCCCTCCCTGAATCCTCCATGCCTGACAACAACTGTGATTTCATTTCTGCTAACTTACTTTAAAACCTATGAAATCAGGGAAGATCCCATGGAAAGCGAAAACATAGCATAGTAACAAACTAAACCCATTAGACTGATCTTTCCTCTATTCCTTCCTTACCAATTTTGCAGTCTCCAATTTCAGATTTTTCAGTGCTTCCTCCTTCTCATATGCTGTGTGGTTAAATTCATCTCTTTCCCCAACTAGGCCTATTGACTTGGTGATCTGTTTTTCTAGACTGAATAACAAAATATCACACAGGTAAGTAAGTACTCATTCTCAGGACTAAGCTATAATTATAGGGCTCCATCCTGGGGAAAGTGTGGGTCAGACCTAAAGAAGCTTTAGTAATGACAAAATATGAATCTCAAATTGTGTGTAGACCAATGAAATCTGAGTTTCTGAGAGGTGAAAACAGTAAGAACCTAGCTAGTTTCCCAAATCCAACTTTCATATATTCTTTGAATATACGAATGGCTACTGGTGCCAAAAAATTATCTGGGGTGGGCTTAAAATCTCTGAGATTCTCTTAGAGTTCTCTGAATTTTGAGGTTTTAGTTATTAAATTAGGGTTTGAGTTAATTAAGAGAATTCATTTGAAAAATGACCATTGATAAAGAGGAATGCCCTTTCTCTTCCTTCCATACGTTCCTCCCCATCCCTAGATGCTCTATCCCTAGGAACAGCCTCCTCTAGAGGAGTTGTTCCCTGCCCAAACCAAACTCTGACCTTTGAATCTGTAGTTCTTTCTCTCTGATTTGCACAACAAGGTCCTGGTTTGCCTCATCTAGGTTCAGCATATCCTTTTCAAGATCCAGATTCAGGTTGTCAAGATTCTTTTTTGCCTGCTTCAATCTCAGAATTTCCTTAGTTTGAGAACTACCAGGATATATCATTATTAAGATCCAAGTTAATCCAGTTAAAAGAAAGGAAAAAATTAGTACTGCTTAAGCTCCTACTTTGTGTGAAATGTTTAAAGGCAAGAAAATAATTTATTTGACTTTTCTATTCCATTATGAAGAATATAGTTCTAGAAAGGATCCCCTGTGAATGTTATATACACTAAAATTATCCCAGATTCTCCATTTTGCCTATGCCTCAATTTATGTAACAAACAGGTTCTAAAATCTTATGTGTAAACTGAATTTTTATTAGTCAAAAACTTACAAATATAGAATCTTATACATCTAATGCACTGGGAAATATAGATATTTAAAAGGATTCTCTTGTTAATAAAAAAAAAAAACTAAATAAAGGGACCCTGTGGAGAATTCTTTTGAGATGTGAATCATCTTGTGTGTTTTTGTTGTTGTTGTTGTTGTTTGTTTGTTTGTTTTACATCAGGTCTCATCTATGTGGTATATCAAGGTGGGCAGGAGGGAAATTTCCATAACCGCCTCCTGTAACTTGTTTTACCTTCTTCTGACCCCAGTTAGTAAAAGATAGCCTTTTCCCCAGTGTAGACTGATAAGAGTACCATACAAAGAACCATCACAGACCTTCCTTTACCACTGGTTAGATAAAGGGGTAAGAACTGAAACCAGAGGCTTTCTTGCCTAAAATCCTTTGCCTAGCCTTATGTGGAATAATCCCGTTGGTCAGCTTAAAATTCCTTCCCAGAGAGGCTTCAAAATAATTTCAAAATTCTCTCATTTAATGTTTCCTTAGTGACCCTCTTTATTGCTGTCATCACTTACATGTCATCCAGTGAGCCTTGACTAATTTCTTCCATTATAGATTTTCTGAAAAAGAAAAGAAAGGAAAGAAAGGAAGGAAGGAAGGAAGGAAGGAAGGAAGGAAGGAAGGAAGGAAGGAAGGAATACAAATATTTACTAATGAACAGGGGACAAAACTTGGTCATTTGGTTCCATTATTATTCACCCAAGATAAAACCCGGGCCTAATGATTCCTGCTCATACAATAGCCAATATCATTTCTGCTTTACCCCTTTCATGCCTCACTTTGTTCAAGAGTAACTAACCCTTGGAAAAATTGAAGCATCTATCCCATTAGCAGGCCCATTCAGAGTCTCTCACTAACATAAATTCCTATGGACTGTTAAAACAAATAATGGAGCAGGTGGAAGTTACTTTAAAAAATATCAGATGCCTAATTTATTTTCTACTTAACTTGCCTTCTTTAAGGCCCTGGACAGGTAGAAATGGAAATGGTGAGCATGGCTGCCTGGAGGAAATCAACACTGTGTTTGCTGTTGCCTGAGTTGACCTTCCCTAACTCTGTTGTCCTGGGTAACCTCAGTCACACATCATGCTCAGAGTGAAGCCAGATATCATCAGTCCTAACTTTAAAGATCACTTTTCATTTATTTCTACTAGTCATTTTCCTTTTCTCCCTTTCTATTCCTTCCTTCTTCCTTTCCCTTTCATTCTGCCCTTCTACTTTTTCTTAATTTTCTTTTTCTTCTTTCTTCTCATTCTTTTTCCTTCTCTTTCCTCTCTGTTGTCCTTCTTTTTCTTTTTCTGACACACCTGTGGATGCACAAATGCTCCCCAACACAAGTCTCTCTCTCTCTCAATCTCTCTCTCCCTCTCTCTCTCTCTCTCTCTCTCTCTCTCTCTCTCTCTCTCTCTCTCTCTCTCTCTCCTCTCCCCTCTCTCTCTCTCTCTCTCTCTCTCTCTCTCTCTCTCTCTCTCTCTCTCTCTCTCTCTCTCTCTCTCTCTCTCTCCTTCCTTCCCTCCCTCCCTCCCTCCCTCTCTCCTTCCACTTGGACCTTAAAAAAAAACTCAGAGCTCTCTCAAAACCCCCCACAGCCTTCACTAGCTTTCAGCCATCTAAAGTGATACCATGGAAACTTTCAGAGAGCCCATGAGAAATGTTTAGAGTTTTCAGAGCTCCCCCCCCCACCTTAGCCTTTAGATTCTAGAGCTTTCAAAAGCCTTCAGTGTCTTAAAAGACTTAGAGATTTTAGAAGTCTTTAGAACCTAAGAAAGTCATAAGAGAACCCAGAAGCCTGTGGAGCCTCTAGCAGCCTATAGAGGCTTTAGAACCCTCAAGAGTCCTTGGATGGTTCACAGTCTTGGAAAGGAGTAGATTGACAGAAATTGATTGGCTCTCCCAGAGGGAAAGAGGTCTATCAGTCATCCAAGGTAGGGTGGGGCAATATGTCATAGTGGCAATAGCTTATGCTCATCATTGTAGGAAGAGTAGGGAGTGGAGTACACAGCCTCAGGATAAAGGAGAACTGGGTCACAGATGCTGAGTCTGTCCTGTAACAATGGTCAGCTACATAGGGCTGATTTCTTAGTTGTTCTGAGTTCAGGTGAACAAACTGCCATGCTCAAGTCCAAACCATGAGTTTCTGTGGTCAGTTAATGAACTCAAGAGATCTGTGTGGTAGGGGAAGGGAAGTTCATGAGGGGCTGTGTATGAAAATGCTTGAGACAAGGTAACTAGCCCAGGAACATTTCTCATAGCAGTCCCAGCATATAATAGGCATTTAGTAAATAATTATTGAATTGAATTGTATGAAACAAGTAAGTTCTTTTCTAGACCTGGCTTCCTACAGATGCTGGTTGTATTAGCACATGTTCTATGGATTCTCCCATCATCATTTTTCAGGCATAGACAAGCCTCAGAAGGGTAATGTCAGCACAAAAAATTGGAAGATGGAACAAAGGGAAAGGGAATGGAACAGAAGAGTATAAATTATAGACCCATTACTGTTCCTCCCCCTAGACTGGCCATATGATTTCCCAATGCCTCATCTCAGTGGAATGGTAGACTAAACTTTTATATTCCATGGCAACCTTCCTTCTCTCCCTCTCCCTTTCTCTATCTTTCCCTTTGTCCCTCCATCCCTCCCTTCTTTCCTTCCTTTCTTTCTCCTTCCCTCCCTCTTCTTTCTCTTTTTTCCTTCCTTCCTTACCTCCCTTCTTTCTTCCCTCCTTTCTTTCCTTTTTTCCTTCCTTCCTTATTCCTTTCATTCTTTTTTCTTTCTCTTTCTTTCTTTCTTTCTTTCCTTTCTTTCCTTCCTTTCTTCTTTCTTTCTTCTTTCTTTCTTTCTTTCTTTCTTCCTTTCTTTCTTCCTTTCTTCTTTCTTTCTTCTTTCTTCTTTCTTTCTTTCTTTCTTTCTTCTTTCTTTCTCTTTTTCTTTCTTTCTTTCTTTCTTCCTTTCTTTCCTTCCTTTCTTCTTTCTTTCTTTCTTTCTTTCTTTCTTTCTTTCTTTCTTTCTTTCTTTCTTTCTTTCTTTCTTTCTTTTTTTTCTTTCTTTCTTTTTCTTTTTTTTCTTTTCTTTCTTTCTTTCTTTCTTTCTTTCTTTCTTTCTTTCTTTCTCCATACATATTAAGTAATTACTATCTACAAGGCCCTGTGTTAGACACTAGTCATCTGAAGAGCATAAATCCTCCTTCCTGTCCACCATAAATGAAGAGACTGGTATACACACCTGGAGATATATATTAATATTAATAATAGTTGCCATATATAATTTTTAAAGGTTGAAAAGCACATTCCATACAAGATCTCATTTAACCCTCATAACCAGGTGAGGTAGGTAATTAGAGATCCTATCTCCATTTTTAAAGCTAAGAAAACAATCTCAGGTTAACTGACTTGGTCACACAATTACTGTCGTGGGGGAAAAGGATAAAGGCATGTATTTTAAAAAGTCTCCCTAACTTAACTCATTCTATATCCCTACCAGTGCTATTCTTCCTGCCCACATCACCTTCCCATTTCTTACTAGCAGGCCATAGATCCTATTCTCTTCAAAATTATATCCAAATTTACTTTTTGCATTCTGAAGTCCTCTCAAACTCTTCTTAATGAAAATTACCTTTTATTTGGTACCTGTTTCTTCTTTATGACTATTATCAGTTATCTGTTTAAATAAATTTCTGTCTATATAGGTATGCTCAGAAGGTATGCCAGGGGTGCTATTGCCCACCTTGTGGGCAATATGGCTACATATGCCTAGACAGGAATACATGTACCTATACATTTTTGATGAATGGTTGCCCGTATCCCCATTAACTGTAAACTTTTGAGGACTATCTATGAGTCTATCCATAGTGTTTAGGGAAAAACTGTACACAGTGGATAGATATTCAAGACTGAAAAGTTATTTAACTTCCAATACTCAGGTAGCATCAGTAGAAAACTAGATTGGAATTGTGTTGAGAGAGCTAGACCTGAAGTCAAGAAGATGTGAGTTCAGATCCTGCCTCAAACACTTGCTAACTTTGTGACCTAGGCATGTCACTTATCCTCTCTCAGTTTCAGTATCCTCATCTATAAAATGGGAATAATGGTTGTGCCTGCCTCACAGATTCATGTGAAGATCAAATGAGATAATGTATGTAAAGTGCTTTGCAAACCTAAAAGTATGGCATAAATGTTAGCCATTTTTATTATTATGTATTTCAATTTATTGTATCCTGGTGCTGGAAGGGAGGGATCTTTGTGTACATCTGGTTCAAACACTTATTTCATAAATGAAGAACTGAGGCCCAGAGAAGTTGTGTCTTGCCCATGCCCACACAAGTAGCAAGTAGGAGAGACATGACTTGAACCCATGTCCTTTTGCTCCAGAAGAGCTCTTTTCACTATGTCACCATGTCTCTAATTGCCTATTTGTTAAATGGAAGCAGTTCACATCAGCTTAGCTACCTGCCAAAATGTGTACCCTACGCAGCACCAAATTATAGTACATTTTCAAGTCTGAGGTTTTTAAGTTGGTCTTAAAAGATCTATGAGAGATAGCACAATGTGGTGAAAAGAACACTGGATTTGGGAGTTGGAAGTTCTGTGTTCAAATTCTACCTCTTCCATGGCAAATCATCCTGAGCCTGAATTTCCTTATCTGTAAAATAAGGATAATAATACCTATACTTTAGAAAGTTGTTGTGAGGAAAGTGTTTTGTAAGCTATAATTTAGTGCTTCAATGAATCTACAATGCAATTGGTGTAGGTAATCTCCTAACTGTGGGCATCTAGGTGGCACAGTGGATAGAGTGCTGGGCCTGAAGTCAGGAAGACTCATCTTCTGAGCTCAAATCTGACCTTAGACACTTACTAGCTGGGTGACCCTGGGCAAGTCACTTAACCCTGTTTGCCTCAGTTTCCTCATCTGTAAAATGAGCTGGAGAAGGAAATGGCAAATCACTCCAGTATCTTTGCCAAGAAAACTCCAAATGAGGTCATGAAGAATTGGACACAACTGAAAATGATTAAACAACAACAATCTCTCCACTCGTTCAGTTCAAAATCTTGATGCTACCTACTCATCTGGTATGACTTTTATCCATATCTTCCCATAAATTTTCCATTGGGGATCTACCAAGCACACTTGATAGAGGCCTTTCTCTGGAGCTTTTAATGTTGCATTAATTTAATCAGAGTTGCATTAAGGCCTTCCATCTTTTATCATTCACTGTTGCTACATGCCTAGACCATGTCCTTCCTGGTCACATATGTTCTTCATGCTTTTGATGGCACTTCTTACACACAAATCATTGTTGGTAATATGGTGCAGCATACCTTTACCATTGCCCTTCTTTTGTTGTTGTTCAGTCATTTCAGTTGTGTCTGACTCTTCATAACCCCTTTTTTGAGGGGAGGAGGGTTTCTTGGCAAAGATACCGGAGTGGCTTGTCATTTCCTTCTCTAGTTTATTTTACAATATCAAAAGAAATTTGTTGAAATGAAGTCATTGAATTGGACAATTTGTAATAAGACTTACATACACACAACAAAAGGTTTTACCACGTGTAAAAAGTGTGAAACAGCTCTTTAAAGCCGCTGTCATGAAAAGCTACTATTTTCAATATATTCTTAATAATTAGAATGAATCTACAGCATGAAAGACCGAGAGACTGGGACTCTGGTTCTACTGCCAATGCTGAAAAGCAACGAGAATTTGAAAAAGAAACTTAAACTCTTTTGGTAGCTTGGTGAAACCATTACTCATTTTCTATTTAACTTATAAATAGGGTGTTAGCATATCAGGTCAAAGATGACTATCAGATAGGAATAATGGGAGTAACCAAAACAAGGAATACCAGGTAAAAGGAAGCTCCAATGCACAAATGAATTTGGTATGAATATTCCCTCCGGTGATACAGATAGCAATCCATCTATGCTTGCCCGCCCTGTCCCACTCCTGTCCAGATAGGGGGTCACCTGACATGCCAGGGTCCTGCCTGGCATCCTTTTGACAGTGTAGTATATAGGCTCTCAGTTATCCCTCACTCTCACCTTATGAATACCATCTTCCTTTTCTGTCATACATCTCTTTGATAGCATCTTTTATTGCAATTATTCTTTGTAGTACTCTCACCGTGACATACTGAAGCTTGTTTATACCTATCATTTACTTCTCCATTGCCCTTTGATTTAAGTCTTCAGAAACTGTAGGGTTTCATGACAATGCAGTCATAGAAGAACACTGGTAGAATATCAGTATTTAGAAAATGGGGCCTTTATTTCAAGGAAAAAGCTCTTTAAATTTTATTTTTTAATAAGAAAAAAATTGCCTTCTCTCTCTCCCACTCACCCCTCACCCCCACTGAGGAATAAAGAAAAACAAAATCTCTTTTACAAATATGTATAGTCAAATAAAACAAATGTTCACATTAGCCATGTAAAAAAAGTCCAATGATATGTTCTGAATTTTTCACCCTTTTATTAGGAGATGGGTCACATGTTTCAACATCATCAGTCCACTGGTATTGTGGTTGATCATTATGATAATCAGAGCTCCTATTTCAAACATGTTTGACTTTACAATATTGTTGTATAAATTGTTCTTCCGGTTTTACTAATTTTACTTTTTATCATTTCATATAATTCTTCCTAGGTCTTTTCTGAAACCATCCCCTTCATCATTTTTTATAGCACAATAGTAATCCATCATATTTATATACAATAACTTATTCAGCCATTCTCTAATATGTGGGTACCCCTCTTAGTTTCCAATTCTTTGTCAGAAAAAGACCTATACATATTTTTTGTACAGCTTTAGTTAGTTTGTTTTGCTTAGGACTAATCTCTCCTTTAATCTGCCCTCCCTCTAATTCCCCCTTCTCTCTCCTCCCCTTTCCTTCCTATTTTTCTGTTGAGTGAAATATATTTCTGTATCCAACTTTGTGCACGAATATCTTTCTTTCTTTGATCATTCAGACTAAAGTGAGATTCAAGCATTGCCTGTTCTCCCCACCCCTTCCTACTTTTTTGTAGAGATTTCTACTTGTGTACCTTTATTATGTGAGATAATATATTCCATTATTCTTCTCCCTTCTATCTGTTAATGTATTCCTCTTCTCCTTTTCTTTCCATTCTTCTTTTAAGAACATTATCATAACAGAACTACTTCCTGGCCTTCTACCTAATTAGATTCTCTCTATTATTCCTGGTGATAATAGGGTTCAGAAGAGACACATGTATGAT